CCACCCGCGGCCACACTCAGGGCGGCATCCGGCGCCAGGTCAGGATCAGGTCCGAGTGGAGGTCGTCCTCCCGGGCCTTCTCCGCCGCCTCCTTCTGCGACATTACCTCCTCGCAGAAGGTTGCGACCGCGGTAAAACAACTGTCGCTACCGGCCATGGAGCGACTACCGGCCATGGAGCTTTTGGCCTACCTACGCTGACGGGTGGCTAGACAGATGGGTTGGTTGGTTGGGCGGTAGGACGTTATGTCAAGTAAGTCAAAACGTAGGGAATTGGCTGTATTTAAAGCATTTGCTATTTAATAAATGTACTGTTGAAAGTCAACAAGTCTTCGAGATAAAATAATGCTGACAAAACTTATTGGTAAGTAGTCAATTATTCTAGGTAAGTTGGTATGTAATTATTTATCGCCAAGACGCTATCCACAAACGGTTGAGACCGCCACACAGGGTGAAAATCGAATCAATTTAAGGTCACTCAGAAGTGTTGAATTAAATCCATAGCCTTACAGAAAACGAGTGAGCGAGGTTACCGGGCACAATCCTCCTCCACCTTCCTAAGTCTGGGGGAGACGGGGCACAAAGGTTTTTAATGCATTTTTTGTGTCTATTGAGTTTTTTTTTATAATATTATGGACATCTAACACACTACACCATCTAGTTTTAAACTAAGCAGAGCTTGTACTGTGAAAGCTGGACTAACTGATAGAATACTTATATTATTTTTGTAAATACCTACATATTATATATAGAAAACACCTAAACTCCGAAATAAATATTTGCAGATCATACGTTTGCTCCGACCCGGGAAATGAACCCGAGACCTCGGCACAGCAGTCGCATACGTTACCACTGCACCACCAGGGCACCTTTAAACGACAATGTCAAAAACAAGTATGTTCCCTTGATTTTTGCGGGTTTCCCTCTTTTTCCATTGGTTCTAAAAGCAAACCCTCACTTGTGACAATAGGACGATCTTGGGATGCATATCCTTTAGAAATAGAATTCTAAATCCGGACCGATGCGACCTTCAAGAAAATAGCGTACTCCTTCCGCAAAGGCTGGCGACGCGCTTGTGACTCCTGAGTTGCACACGTTCATGGGTGGCGGTGGTCGCTTTCCACCAGGAGGCCCGTCTGCTCGTTGGCCCCCTCTTTCATAGAAAAAAATTATCGGTAAAGATGCATCAATACCTATCGGCAAACATGTCCAACATAAAACCATCTTCTTTTTTTAAATCTATTAACAATTGCGCTTCTATTTTAATTTGTTATAACTAGTTAATGAGGTGGTCGTTAATATTCATCAAAATTGAATTTGCAATTGAAATAACGCACCTTGGCTCAAAGATCGTCAGAACCAAAAAAAACAAATTATCAGACAAAATGTGAGAAGAATAAATTGGAAGCTAATTTTGTGGTTTCAAGTAAGCTTCTAGTAGGCCAAAACCTCCTTTTGTACATATGTATGTTGGCAAGAGTTTTGGAAGCCAAATTGTGCCAAGGTGTCCACCGGGATGTGGTTCTAATTTGGCTTCCGAAACATATGTACATGCGAACATTGCATGTGAAATAGGAAAGCTTGTAATAACAAAATATTTTCAGCAAGTCAGAAGCTTACTTCATCAACGGCCTTTAATAGTCCACTACTGGACATAGGCCTTTCCTTAGACTACTGGACATAGGCCTTTCCTTAGACATAGGACTGCCACGCGGGCCGAAGTTATGTGCGAAGGCAGCTCGGGCTCTGGCAATGCGTGAGGTGATGTCCACATCGTCACCCCCCGTTTCCGACACCTATCTTCAGTGACATTACAATAATACAGTACCATGGAGCTGTTTTTGATAATGGAGCCGGAAGACGGCCATAGAAACTTCTTAAGTAAACAAGATAAATATATTGGTTTAGGCTCGAAATATCCGTTTTGCAAAATGTCTGTTTCCCAGAATGCCCCTTTTTGGGAAACGAACGTTTCGGGAAGGAATATTCTGGGCAATATACCTACATTATGGGGAGGGGACGTTTCGGGAAAGGGACTATTTGAAACAAAGGGCCATTTTGGGAAAGGGACATTTTGAGTCTGAACGGTTTTAAACTAAGATCTGAATAGTGAAACACAAAGGATCTCCCTCACCGGCGGATTTCTATAGGTCGATAATATCGAATGCGTCCTGATTACTTGCACACATCTGCGTTTTTATACTATAAAAACAGTCTTATAATTTATATTCTATTAGCTTTAGCCAATTTTAGTCAATAAATTTGGCCAGGATAAATAGTATCCTCTGTGCTATTATTTTCTAATTATTATTTGACTGCCTCAGTGGAGCAGTGGTAGCATATGTGACTGCTGTAAGGTCTCGGATTCGATTCCCGCGGGTCGGACCAAATGTTAGTATGATCTGCAAATACTTGTTTCGGAGTTTGGGTTTTTTCTATGTAAATATAATATGTATGTATTTACAAAAAAAAAAAGAGTAAATAAGTATTCTAGCAGCCAATATAGCTTACACAGTACAAGCTCTGCTTAGTTTACAACTAGAGAGCGTTGTGTGTGTCAGAAATAATATTACTATTAAATATTATAATCTATCTGTGCCATATCTCGTCCAGATCTAGAAAGCCAAATAAGAAACATAATTACGTTTTGAAAACTTAAAAAATAGTAGTCTGATTATTATTATTATTTTTGTTAGAGAATATAATTGTATTGAGAGTTTGGAATCAGTGAATTAAAAAAAATAGTTCCACATACAAACTTGCAGCCGTTTTTAAGGGTAGCTTTAAATAAATTAGTAACAACGTTTTTATTACTTTTAATAAAGAGTGTTGAAAACTGTCCTACCAAAAATGACGAAAATTTCCTACTCCTTTTTTGCACCCTTAGGGGTGGAGTTTCTAAAAATCCTAGTGCACATTTACGTCACCTATGGAACATTTGTGCAAAACTTTCTGCTTATAGACCCAGCGGTTTCAGTGAAACAGTTTGTCATTTTCTTTTTTTATAGATATGGAATATTTACTTTATATATTATATGTATTATATAATAAATAAATAGATATTCTAGTGGTAAGTAAATTAGTTAACATCGCTATTGTCGTCTTCTTCAGTTATCTTCCATGGCTACTGTTAGTGATTAAAATTCTTTGTCTGATAATAAATTAAATCAGTCAGAAAAAAAATTAACACTCGGTAACAAATGACCTCCTTGAGTACTACTAGTAATATCGATCTTGACGCAGCTGTGTATAGCGTCCTAAAACAAAATGTTGTAAGAACTCAAATCGGCATATCGCAGGTTGGAGGAATACAAGCGTCCTACTACTATTGCGTCGTTACTATCGAGGCAATGTGTATTTTCGTTGCCGTCCTAAAACAAAATGTACTGACCGATAAAAACGCGCCTGAGGGGAAGAGGGGTAGGAAGAGGGATCTGAAAAGAGTGACAACTGAACTATTTTAGAGTAGTGATGTTATTTGAGAAGGGGTGCGACTTGAACAAATTATTTAGAGGTCTTCAAAGTGCTAGGAAAACTCCTGGTACTTTCCAGTGATTCGTCATGCCTCAGTAACTACTCTTGGGAATTCAAAAAGGCATAAGTTAAACAAATATATAATTTAGATAAAACTTTCATTTTTATTAGGTATGTATCCAGCACACAAAATTCATTCATCAATAATTTACATTCAAATTTTTATTACATTAGAAGTTTTTTTGTAACATCGGTTATAAAATATAATTAAATGTAGGTACATTGGATTAACACTGACCATGTATTTCTCACGTCTAACTTATTTTCTACAAAATCATCTTACAATTTATTATTATTACAAGTGTTTTATGTCTATAATATATATCGATATTTCATTGAAGTAAACCTATCAACAACCAGTGTTCCTATATAGATCAAATTGAAGTTTTAAGTAAGACCGTAATTCAACAGATAGAAACATGCAAGTAAAACAATAATAATATTAAGATTTCTATACAAACCACGTACACAATCAGGATAAATAAATAAAATAAATTCTTCTATCTTACGCTACTAATACACTCTGATTTAAATTACATTATGTCTTACACTAATATTTTATATATTACCATTTAATCTATGACTAATAGGTAACTCCACCGTTTTATCATTATATAATGTACAAACGTAAAATAAAATATTTTCCAAAATGTTCTCCCTTGTCACAAAAGAGCTATGCTTAAGCGACATATTTTTCTTTATCTGTTCAGAAAAATATAACGTAAACAAAATTATAATTAAAACTAACTCAGCTAATGTCATCTTGTTACGAAATGACATGAAGTAATTAGGATTTGTTCGGTACTATGATCAAGATCCAAAAATTAAAGCGATCCATTCAAAAATCTATAACTAGGAAGTCTACAACGTCATGCTGACACCCCTATGATAGCGTTAGAAAAACGCTGTTAATTAAGATTCGGGGAGCCGATCAAAACCTTAACTTACTAGAAGGAAAATATTAATTCTGCTCTTAGCCGATTATTTTCTAAGAGCCACTTATTTAGTACTAAACTGTTTTCACAATACCTATTTACTCAAATAAACGACTAAAACACGTAAGCGCTCACATGTGAACTACGAACTCCTTTGTACTTACTCGAGAGATACAGTCTTGTTTTTACATTGGTCACTCTTCGCTACACTGACTTCTGAGGCTACTCTAACACATGCTAACATTATACCTAACACTAATATTACATTTGTAATTTTAGTGTAATTTTAGTGTTACAAATAGAAATCGAAATAATGTGCTTCAGTTGAAAAATCATGAATGTAGATAATATTACATTCCGCTATATTATACAATAAGATTACTAAAACGTAGTTAAACGCAATTATCCAAAAAGTCTTTGGTCTCAACATAAATATTTTACAACTATTTTAGTGTCTTTACCCACGTAGCCTCTACAAACAGCAAGCGTTGACTAGGGACTAAGATGACTTATGACCATCCACAGATTTAAGCTAAGCGTGTTGAGCTCTACCCAGATGGATAAAGAAAGCGACACGGTCAGCACTTCTCTCTCCGCATTTGTTGCACATGAAAGGGTCGTTATAACCGTGAAAACCCATGTGAATAGTGTGCATCGTCAAATCTCCAAAGGTGATGTCGCAGTACTGACATGAATAGCTTTGTGTGGCAGCAGTCGCATCGGATCCTTCCGACTCAGAGTCGGAGATCTCCATATCTCTATGTTTCTCGTCTTCGTGCTGAAGACGCAATGCTGCTGGTTGCAGTTTAAATGCGCGGCCTTTTCTTCTGTTCTTGAGTGCTGTAGTTGGAGTTATAGGTTGGTTGGTTGATCGCTCTGTGCTTGGAGGCGGAGTACCTGCTTCACTAGTCTTGGTGTTTGTTAGGTCTAGAGCGTCATTATTTGAAGCCTGCGTTTCTTTAGGAGTGGTTGGTGTGTGAGGCGTGCTTGCTGGTGATTTAGCTGGAGGAGGAGTGGTGGGGTTTTCGGATTTTTCACCGTGAGCAAGACGCTGATGAAGTAGTGACGGAGAAGGAGACGACGTTTGTGGTTTTTCTGAAGGTAGTTCTTGAAGTCTAGGTGATATTCTATGTTCGTAGTTATTGTTCGGTGGGAATAAAAATGAGTGAGGTAGTAGCGGTGGCAAGTAAGGCAGGGTAACTGGGAAATGATTCCCGAAAATCGGATGCGTCGGCGGTGGTGGTTGTGGTGCATTATTGTTGTTCATAGGTGCCTGATCGAACATTTTCGATAATGGCTTCTGTTTGGGACCACGCCGTGTTCCATAAACATCAATAATTGGCAAAGGATTAGGTGTTCCATCGGGGTTTAGTACCATCGCAGGATTGTGCTGGTATTTGCGTAGGTGTAACTTTAGGGAGTGGCAATATTTTGTGGCATAGTTACAATCTGCACAGCGGTATTGATATACGTTGGAGTGCGATTTTAAGTGCGAATTAAGCATAGATTTGTTGACGCATGAATATGAACATTGAGTACATTGGAACGGCTTTGAGCCCATATGATTCCTCATGTGGTATTCAAGATGGTGCTTGTATTCAGTGACGAAGGGACATTTTCTACAGGAAAGCATCTTCTCTGGTTTTATGTGCTCCTTACTATGTTCCCAGAAGCTAAGTTTCGTAACAGCAACGAACTCGCACTGTTTGCATTTAAACGTTTTCACTTTTCCGTGTGAGTTTACGGCAGGCACGCGTAGGCCAGGCTCGTCATCAAAATCTTCGTCACCTGACAACTCGCGACCTTCATCACCGTCAGTTTTTTGTCCAATACCTTCAAAACCTGAATCGTGATAACGCTCGAACGATCGACGGTCATGATCCAGATCGGGCGAAGAAAGTGTTCGAGGTGATTTTGGAGGCGTGGCATCAACTCGTGCCAACGGAGTTGACACATGCGCAGGAGGTGCTAAGTTTCTTGGTGAGTAAGATGTTTCATACCCAGGGGAAGGGTCACGACCTTCATTGTTACGTGATTCGAAGCCTGGTGGTGTAAGCAAACTATATGGCAGACCATTACGGTAAGACTCTAAGTGCACTCCAAGGTTTGCTTTGGCTTTAAGAGACATGCTGTCGTAGAAAGGTGACGGTTCACCGGAGCTGCCCACACTGCGTGGTGAGTGACCGTTCGAGTCCTTACTCGAGGATGATGGAGATGCGCTGTGAAATCCTTCAGAGAAGAAGCCGCTAGTTTGATCTTTCATAAAGCTTCCATCTTCCATTGGTTCAGATTTCTATAAAGAAAAATTGGTTGTAGGTCATCGGATAAGGGCTCGTACAGCATGCCGGCGATGTTACGCGACTTCGGTCGCTCCGTCTATACGGTTGAAGTCGCGCCACATCGCTGGTACGCTGCACGAGCCTTAAAAAAGAAAAGAGGAAAGTAGAACAACAAAAATAAAAGTGATACATACCACTGCTGGAGGTTGTAGTAATCCCCAAGGTTGAGGATGTGCGGAGTGGTGCGCAGGCGCCATGCCGGCGGGTGCGGCGCAACTGAGCATACCTGTTAACAGAAAAAAGATTAAGATTAGATTCATAAGACAAGGAAAAGGTACATCTATGAACTGTACAAACATCTTAGTTCTTTTCAATAAGCTATAATAATGAACTACAAATTCTTGTTTTGATACACGCTTGCATAATTCATAAAGTACCTAAAGAAGAAATCTGCTTACTAAGCCAATTGTGGTCAATGTAAAAAATGCGGAACATTCGGTCACGTACGGTTTCGTAACAAGTCTCATCATTTGCAAAATATAAAGAGATTTATTTTTATTGTTTTCATTTAATGTAGGTACCTATAACTAATTTAAAACGATATTTAGTTTCTTGGATCAGAAAGCAGAAACTTATTAATAGTTGTCGGTGCACGTTAAGTGACTTACTAACTATACTCAATAGTTTATTGCCTTCAGGTATTAATGATTCGAGTGCCTCCGTATACCGCTATTTTAATAAAACAATTACTACAAAGAAAAACACCGCTTTAAAAGTAAATCTGCGTCTATGCTTTCGGCCTCCAACTTAAGGTAAAACGGAGAGGGGAGGGGTATATTTCAAATACAATAGGGGTGCGGTAGCTTAATGACGAGACCACTAGTTTAGTAGTTCCTGACTGTCTCGCCAGAGGTCGTAAGATTGATTCCCACCCTGGATAAGTAATTCTGTAATCTATTTAGCAGTTACCTATATATATTTATCATCACTTTAGCTACCATAGTATCGCCTTTTTTTTATTGTGTGTGATTTAGTTTATATAAAATAATTATAAAGATTTGCAACGCGGGTCCTATTGATCAAAACCGCTAGTGTGAACAACCATTGGGCAGCATGTTACAGCTTGTAATATACATAGAAGGTCACTTGTTTGCCATGTAAACAACAAAAGTGTCTCCCAAGTATGATAATAGATTATAATAATATTCATTGTTACGCGTATTAAATCAGGATTTACTGATAAACCATCTAACAAGTGCATTAATGAGGCAGTGGTGTTATCATGAGAAATAATTAATATCCAAAAAACCTGTACTTATTGTAATGTCCCATTTTTTGTCCGTCTTGTAATAAATGTTTCTGATGTTTTTTAACAAATAACATTAGGCAAGGTCACGTGAAGGATAATGATTACAATGTTGTCTTTATGAACTTGAACAAAAACATAAAATATGATGTTTGCGTTTGCACATATTATGTCAGCTAAGTATTTTGCAATTGAGCGGTAATATAAATATATGTAGGAAAATTGGTACTATATTATACCTAGTATACTTATTTAAAATTAAATTTATTATCAAAGTTAAAATTAAGGATAATTCTGAAAAAAGTAGACATTTCAGACAGATAACACTATTATTTTAAACAATACATAATATTTTGTTAATTACAGATAAGTAGTATAATAAAAAAACCTAATATCAATATTATAAAATATTATATACACCATCCCATGGTAGTCATAGTTAGGTGGTATACCTATTTTCTTATCAATTATTTCTGGCGGTGGTTGTTTACTTTCTTCGCACCTATAGGTAGCTACCTACATATAATTTAATTATCATTTATTAAAAATTTATATACCTTCATTATTTGGTACTGTTACTAAACAAAAGGGTTTATAATCTTCAAAAGACACAAAATACAATGTTTTTTTTAACTGTAATTACCACAAAGTAATAATAGCGTCGTAAAGACAACTTTAAAACAAGCGGTAAACACCATCATAAGTTTGAGAGGTTAAAAACCTCTGATATGCAGTAAAAAGGTTACTTAAATTAAAGTATAAATATACTTTATGGTATACTGTTACGGTCTTCAAGAATTTGTATTAAATAAGTCTTTATATTGTAATAATAGGGTCATTTGTTCATTTAACGCATTGTTAGTTAAGTTAATAAGCAAACAAAATACGAACAAGTTTTGGTTTTAAAATTCCAAAACGTTATCATATGTAAACAAACAACACGGCAAAATGATAAAAAAATGAGTTTTGTTCAAAATATTATTAAAGACTTTTGTTCAAAATATTATTATTAATTTAAAGATATTATAGTTTTATTGATAAGTAAACACTTGCCTTAAATAAGAACTGCCGAAGTTCGAATAAACAGTGCACAACAATGTTGCATGCAAGTAAATCCAAATTCACTTCAATGTTTATATATCACGGATAACAAATTTTAATTATCACGAAAACTCATGGGCATTTTATAATACAACCCTTCGATATGACGGCGGAGAGACGTGTGAGCGCCGCCACTCCTCACAATGAACTGAAAAAATCTGTCAATTTTTATGCTCCAAACATCGATAAATGTATTCTATATTTGAAGCCGACGTGTTTTCTAGAGGGATAAGGACAGCTATACTTTCAAATAGGCGCTTCTCTTTCGCGCCCCCACAGCCTATTTTACTCGAACCAATACGGCGCGAGCTACTGTGGGTGGGGATCCAGTTATTAAGTTATTGTTTATCCTATATTAATACTAAAAAAATAGACAACCCCGGCTATTTTGCCAGTTGTTGCTATAACAAAACATAGGCGTATAATATCTGTTATTATTGCGATAAAATCGAGCGAGTAGGGTAATGAGATTGTTTTCGTATTGAATCACTTAATGCCTACGGTTATAATGTGATTTTTATGTTGGTTTGTCCCATTAATTAGAAGTAAGACAGTTAAATATTGGGTGGTAGTAAAAATAAATATTATGTTGACTTAACCTTTATTGGTCATAAATATAAAATGTGTCTAATTACCAAACTAACACTTACATAGATTAATTCCTTTTCTAAAGCGTTATACTTATTACGAGTATGTATTAAATATTGATACATCCCTATGTATTTTCCCCTTCGCGCGTTTTTTACGTTAAAAAAAAGACGATGGATAAAAAGTATAACAAGGCCGTACCATAGAGGGGCGGTGAGCTTTTTACGTCACTCTCCAACCAATAGCGAGGTGCAGATTAAAAAAGGAATGACGTTTTCTTTTTTCAAACTACCAACAGCCAATTAAAAACTGTTTTCTATTTTTATGCGGGCAAAATAAATAAGGAGGGCGCACTAAGCAGATACAAATGTACAATAAATTTACTTTTCACACATATTTTGTTAAAAAATACGGTTATAAAATTTATATAAGAAATTACGCAAGTCAATATCTTAAAAAACGGCTCAAAATCGTTTTAAAACAGTTGCCTATTGTATGTAATTGCAATGTAAAATGGTTTCATAATAAATTATGTACCTAATCATATTTTATGATTAAAAGCCAATTATGAATCGTGAAACTAGCTGTAAAAGCAAATTGATTTTCTGCAACTTTCTTTAGGTTCTCTACTTATTAAATAGAATAATATTTATTGTACATACCTAATTGAATATCTAATTAACACAATGTTGTAAACATCAAAATTAATATAAGAAACATTTGAAGATTTTTGTTTCCTGATGTTTAATGTTTGTATAATTTGTAAGCTCATGTGTAAGCTTTCAAATTATCAGATTTGTCAAAGTACTTCCTCCTCGGTAAGTATTTGTGTACCTAAGTAGGTAGTTGTGTAATTAGTTACGTATTACCTACGTTTGATTTTATTTTTATTGACCAGAACTATTAAACAATTTAGTTAAAACTAGTGGTGGGTAACCAGCGTGGGTCGATGTTATTTCCACAAGATGAGTACCATACATTAGGTATCTACCAAGTTTGCCGGGGCACCAGGGCCTTCCTTTCTAGGGTATACCTGGTTCCCCGGCTATTAGTACCCGGCGAAGGCGTGCGGTTTTAGTCGGTTCGAGTCCGACATTCCGTGTGGTGACGGATTAAGAATACAAATTGTCACCAACCCAATTCATCCCGTGGGTGTCGTAAGAGCCGACTAAGGGAGCAAACTAAGCAGGACAACAGCACTGCAAAGAGAAGGAAAACTTGAAACAAACCCTATACCAACCCGTCTGGCCAGCGTGGTATAGTAGGCCAAAACCTCCTTTCTAAGGAGAGGCCTATGTCCAGCAGTGGACTAGTATAGGCTGTTGATGAGTCCGACATGCCACCGACAGGTGGTACCCGAGGGGATTTCCGCACGGGAAAAAAAAAAAAAAAAAGGTATCTACCAAGTCAATGATATTTTAAGGAAGATACTAGATATGGAAATTATTGCTACTTTTAAGTCATATCCATTTGATATAATTATATGATTTGGTCACTGTGATTTCTACTGTGATAAATTACTGCTTATGATTTGGTCTTTTTTTTAGATTTAGTCCTTTCACGTGTCTGGCGCTAGCGTAATAACACTAGGTAATTAGTCGCAGTGATGTTGTCGATGAGTCATAGATGTTATGTAATTATTTTAAAATCATATGATTGATTAAGGGGATTGCTATTTTATCACATGCCTAGAAGATACGTTATATTCATACTGCATATACGTCTAACCACTGCACTTGCAAAATATTTGTTACGTAACCGTACATACATGTAATAATGCATTTTAGAACAAAACACATTTACCTGTGGTATGATATTCCTTTATCTTTATTTAACTTTTTGGCGTAATTTGTGCACTTTCGGAATACACAGGAAGGCATTTTATGAAATTTGTCAAATCAATTAGTACGTGCGCTCGATCACAGTGGTCCTAATTAGGACCTTTGCGACCTAAGTGAGCTCACTTACCTACACGAGTAAGGATACTTCTTCGCGCTTATTGTAAGTGCCGGCCGCCATATTGGCTGTGTGCTTGTTGCCCGTGTTGTGGTATAACTAAAGAACAAAATTAGATACAAATTGCGGTGTTAAACCAAGTAGTGGGAGTTCCATGCTCCTGCACTCTAGTAGGTAAGGGCCTTCTCGACAGGAGTTATAGTTGCCACGGCATTACCTACAAAAAAACCCGTGTAAAGTACTTCTTTTCTTGCTTTTCAACGAGGGAGTGAGGTTAACGGGAGCCCAAACCCCCAAACGATCTACAAAAATGGGTTAGGATCTACAAGAATAAAGAAATATCTGCTAATAGGTACCTACAATCTGAATCCTGCTTTGGAACACCAATATCACATGGAGGTTTAAATAGGCACTCGATTAGATTAATTTGGGTAGTGCGCTATTAGGTAATACCAACATGAAGAATATTTTTTTACCTACCTACCTAAATAAAAATGACGCACGGAATACTAAACAATAACTAAACGTACCTAGATATAGAAACGCAGAAACCTAAAATTTTTAAACAATATCCATAATAATATTATAAATGCGAAAGTGTCTGTCTGTCTCCCCTTCTGTCTGTCTGTCTGTTACCTCTTTAACTGCTGAAACGATTTAGATGAAATTTGAGATGATGATAGTTTGATTCTTTGATTTTAATCATTTATAAAAACTATTGTTATAAAGTTAAAAACTATTTTACCTGCCTGAGTACAGAAGTCGAAATTCAACCAGGCGATGTCTAGTTATAAATGAAATCGTTATTAATAGATATAGACAGATAAATACCTAGATAATACTTTATTTGTACACATGGTTTTACAGATATTTTCAACAAATGTAATGTACATAGAGCGGCCGTTATATAGATTTATTCCAGGCAACCTTTGGATGGACTGGATTTCTTTTTGAACTGGTGATAGGTATATAAAAGCTTGACTAATAAATAAGGTCTTAACCTATGAAATATTTGTAGGTGTTATTAAACTCTGCACGGATGGCGTAGTGGTTTAAGCGGTCGCCACGCCGCTCACTACTATGCTGAGTGTTGTGGGTTCGATCCCCACATGGGACGAAACTTTGTGTGATCCACAAATTGTTGTTTAGAATCTGGGTGTTATTTGTGTCCGTTTAATGTAGGTATGTTTGTTAAGCCCCCCGCGACACGATATATGTTCCTAATGCGGGAATAATTATAAGTTACCAAAAAATGCTTAAGGTCTCATTTGCAATGCTTAAATAAAGTCTACATACATACATTAGAATGTAAAACTAAGCTGAATAGATACCTATTCATTTTAATTGCATTATAATCTTGATGTTGTATTGTGTTTAGGTATAGACAATAATTTTACTAGGTAGTTTTTTTTTGTCAATCAAAAACATCATGGCAGTTCGGTGGCAAAGCAAGAAGATTTCATAACAAAAAATAAAAAACAAATAAGAAAGGCATATAAACAAAAAGATTTGGGTAGATACATCTATTAACTTTAACATAACACAATATCACACATCATTGTATTTCCTTAAAACCTAATTATTTTGTGGTTTTTATGCTATAACTAATTAACTTTAACGATAATTGATCTTAATAGAATGAATCATTACTAACATACGTCGGCAAACAAAAAAGACAAAGTTATCATTAAAAAAACGGTGATCATTAAGTACTAACCTAACCCAACATGCTCTTACTTGGACATTTATACTTACTTCCAACAATAACTTATACATTTACAACATATATAAATTATAGGTAATTTAGTAGAAATCGTAATTACATAATTATGTAACGTTTTATGTTAAAAAAAACGAGAACAAAACATTCTTGGAACGACATACACTTCACCGCTGGCCCTCGGAGGCAATGATGACCCGTGAGGGTTTCGAATGGGAAATAAGGCGTAGGTAAGTAAAGTGCAATAGCGCAATAATATGTACGGCAGTGACTTTGTTGTCACATATTAAATTATTTGAGCAACATTTCATTAAATTGCTGCGAAATAATTAAATTACTTAAAAAAAATTGTAACACAAGTGACACATCTACAAAAGTGATGTATTCATCACTTTTGTGGATAATAGCAAAATACTCCAACCTTATTTTCTAAGGCCTACCTATGTCCATAACAATGTGGACTCCAGCAATAATCGATATTGTTTTCTTCTTTGTTTCTAAATAATAATAATAATAATAACCTCACACATCTCACACACGGCCGTCTGATCCCAAACTAGGCAGAGCCTGTACTATGGTAACCAGACTGCTGATAAACATACTTATATATTTTTAAATACATACATATTATAGGTAAATTACACCCAGACACAGAACAAATGACCGTGCTCATAACTCAATATTTGTCCTGGGTGGGAATCGAACCCACGACCTACCGGCTTAGCGGTCAGGGCCACTAACCACTAGACCAACAGGCCCGTCAAATGTATTTAATCTTTATAATTACCGTCAATAATCGTCATGCATCGCGGTCTGAACAAAATAGACATGTTTAGGTCTATCATGTCTTCCTTGTACCTCACAACCAGTAATGTATCCATTGTAGAGTCTGTTGAGACAATAATTCTCTATAACGCTTAGAAAATAAGAAAACTAATCGATAACATTTACCTGTTAATCCTTGGTAGAAGTGACCACCGTACTGTTGGACTTGTGACTTACAAAGAAAGAAAGACAATAAGTTTATTAAAAGAGAAAAGTGTTTGTTTATATTGAGCACATTACGAGTAGGTATACCTTATGGTGACGGATTAAGAGTACGGAGTGTGTTCATCCCCTGGATGTCTTAAAAGCCGACTAAGGGAGCAAACTAGGCAGTGCAAAGAGAAGGAAAACTTGTCACAAACCCTATAAGAAACCCGTCTTTGTCCGTGGTTTAAAACCTACTTTCTAAGGAGAGGGCTATGTTCAGCAGTGGACTAGGAAGTAAAGGCTGTTGATGATTGATAATCATATTTTTTTGGGTATAAGATTAGACGTATCTGATCAGAGATCGTCTAAATTCCTATTGCAGGTACTATACGTGGTCGAAATCGGGTTTAGCTTAGCGAAAATAGTTGGCTTGAAATTTTAAACCGAAATATATTAAAAAAAAAAATGTAATTTTAAAGAATGAAACTATTTAATTATGTAAACTACTAATAAATATTAAACAATTTAAAAATTAATGCTCATAACTGACGTCCGAAGCCGTCCAAAACGTGAATAAATGAATTTCGATTTAGAATAAACTATAATGTAAGTGTATTTGAAGGTCAATTGAGTGAATATATTATTATTTTTACAGGTCATGTCCCTGTCAAATCCATCATTTGTATGCGATTTAAGCGGTTTAAATTAATGTACACAACTACCATTGCGACCGGTGTCGAAGGTGCGAGTTTGTTAAATACCTAATTTAATATAGTCAAACATACCTAAGTAGCTATGTTTAGTCTGTTCATGTATTTCATGCTAGACAGGTGTACCTATGGGAATCTTGTCTCATATCTTACTGAAATAGATGAATTTAAATGAAAATACGTGGTATATTAACAAAAGTTAGCACCTTTAATATTTTTGTATTTCTCGAAGCTTTGAAAGTGTTTTGTTGAAATTATAAAATTCTAAAACGTTCAAAGACCGAGACAATGGTGACAAATAGGCTTGAGACTTGTATTTAGCAAAATAAATACACTTATAGAATGGAATGGTATGGTATGGTAATGGAATAGCGCGGGGCGCAATCGAACGGACGGGATATATATCTGATGGTAAATAATGATTACTGCTGCTCATAGACATCTCAAAAGACACAACGGCGCTGCCACCATAAAAGGCCCTCCCTCACCTCCCTCAGGGATAAGCGGAGAGGACGGGTCCTCCGGTATCCTCACTCATTCGGCGAATAGCAAAGAATAAGAATAACTTTCTTTTTTCTTTTCCTTTTTAAAAAGACAACTCCCGCAATAGTAATATATATCCTGTGTCGCGGGGCACTTTACAAACCTACATGAAACGGACAAAAGGAACACCCAGGCTCAGAACAACAATTTGTGGATCACACAAAGTGGTGTCTCATGTGGGCATCGAACCCACAACACTCAGCGCAGTAGGAAGCTGCGTGGCCACCGCTTAAACCACTACGCCATCCGTGCAGTAAGCGCCCGAGTATATTGCCGGCTTGTTTAGACAGCAATTTACGGTAACATCGCCATTAGAGCCATCGCACTCGGTGATCAATACTCAATCGGGTGAAAGGTTAAGTTATAGTGTGAAGTAAACTTGGTAATTAAATCCATGACTGGAGGTAAATCTCCCGGTTACGACGGTTTGAACATCTGTTCAATACTCAAACCATCGTGAGCATGCCGAGCTCCTACTTACCGAGATTGGTAGCTATGCCGTTTTATCTTTGTGTGAGTCACTCATACCTACCTCAAGACATGATTAAAACAACTGTAATTAGTATTGTAAAAAATAAGACGGCCGATCTTTCAGATAGTAATAACTACATGCTTCAGACATCTCTCTTGCCACAGTTATATCAGAAGTGTTTGACAGCGTGCTGAACTCACAGCTGACCCAACACATCAAACCTTATGACAATCTGTTTGGCTTTCGAGCCGGACTATCTACTAAAAGCGCAATTTTGTGTATTAAGCATACTATCAGAAACTATACAAGACGTCAAACTGTAGTCCACGCATGCTTTCTCGACCTTTCGAAAGCTTTTGACCCGGCTTTTGACCGTGAACAGTATCCTGAACATGATCTCTAGTCTGCTGGACTGTGGTTACATCAATCGTTGCTGCGCAATTGCGTACGGAAAGGCGCAGAAATGATTGTTGTGTGTGTATATGTCTATATTTGTTTTATGGTTTGTTTTCCTTATGAAGAGTCACACACAAGAGTCAGAATACTAGTCTCTAAGAATATTGTTACTAACAAAATGAACACCATGGTCTGAAATAAAGAGTTATTATTAACACCTGAGTGTGCATTCTTTAGGGCTGCGTTATCATGCCGGTCGAGCCGCCGCGAGTGCCTAAGCATGGTTCTCCTACGAACATCTTCATAATCTTGAATTCACACGAACTTTTAAATAAAGAACGACTGCAGCACTTCAGCGGATCTGACCAGTTTATCGCGACCTTCAACGATCCTGCGGAGAATGTATTGTGGTTTCAATATCTATTATGAGTTGGTCAAAGATCACTGGTGGCGATTGCTATTTATTTCATTTAACTTGTTAGATTTGTTAAAGTTAAGTGACAATCTTGCCAATGTCGTTACGTGAATAGTAGCAATAATGAGCTGGTTTGTAGCCGACTATACTTCCCCTTTGGTCCCACTCAATTTTTGAGTAAAAATACCCTAAGAGTGACTCAATTCATCACAATGAAGTGAAGCTTAGATCATACACACAACCTTGTTTGTATGATGGGAATAAGGAAGTTAGTGATGTTTTTAAAAAGTTTACCTACCTAATATTAAAAATGCAAAGTATTTTTTTTAATAATAAGGCAACTCTCGCATTATTAATATATGTATCTATATCCTGTGTCGAGGGCCTATATCCTGTGCTGAGAGCAAGGTTTATCACTTGCTATAATAGGTATGTTCGTGTTGTATTCATCCATTAGACGCTTTACGGGAAGTCAGCAGAATTTCAATTAGACATAAAATTTGTTTTCAAATATACCTACCTAAAAAAAATAGTTTACATATATTGTAGGCACTAAATGAACAAAGAAAAATATACGTTATCTATACACCTATGGAAAATACCGAATAAAATTACACATTAAAATAAAATTCGTTAAGATAACAGTTATCACTACTGCTATTAGCGAGATCTACCTAATTTACTTATAGCGTACCTTGTCAGCCAGGTTTAAGTGAATCCTGGTCACTGAAAATCTCCGAAGCTTAGAATACTAGGTTAGTGAAATAAATTGTGTTAAATACACAGTTAAATAGTTCTTAAATGAAAGTAACATAATTATAAGATACTTTGTTTTTGATTTAGATACTTTTGATGCCATAACGACGGTGGGACGGCTAAATTTTTCATTCGATGTCTGGGGATATACTTCTGTCTCTCAATTAGAATAATTTTAAGCTCTTAAAGCGTGATCGGGGGGGGGGGGGGGGGTTCCGTTGCCCACGCATCATCCGAACTGTTCCTTCGCATGCTCGATCGGGTCGAAGGTCTGGCTGCGTGTCACCCACTTCGTACAGTTATGCTTAACATCTTTAAAATAGTCGTTCAAAATTCGACTCGGATTCATTGTTCTCGGCTGTAAATTTACCATAATTTTACAAAAAGCTCAAAATAATACAGACTAAAAATGTTCAAATGCATGATACCAATAAGCAATTCGAAAATCTGGCACTCGAAAGTATAATTCAGAGATAGGTGTATAACTTGAAGTCATTCATATATGTTGTGTAGGAAGGACATTAGTGGGAGGGGGAGTGGCGGCCGTCGGAGGGTGCGGCCCTCACCCGGGATAGATTTGAAGGTACAATCATTTTTTATGCGAGGGGAAATAATGCTGGCAGCGGTAGGGACACACAGGGAGGAATTTTAACTAGTGGAATACGTTTAAATCTACACATATAAAATTACTAAAATTACTACTACTAAAACTACTATAAGGGATAAACGATTAAATGGAAGTTCGTTATTTTCAAAGTTAGAAACTCGAAAGAAAAAACAATCACGAGAGGGAAATGTTACATAAAAAAGCTGAACGACACACAGCACGACGGCACAGGTTGGTGCACTTTTCAATGAAAACTAAGTACACTTCAGTAACTTTATTTGTCATCATCATCATCAACAGCCTTTAATAGTCCACTGCTGGACATAGGCCTCTCCTTAGAAAGGAGGTTTTGACTTTATTTGTATATTACGTGATTTTCTTATAATTTAACAATTTATTTATGAATATCGCTCAATATCATATTGAAAAAGCCGGACGCTGAGTTAAATTATAAAAACCTCTAAAATTATGTATTATAAAGAGACGAAGAGCTGAGTGAATGAAAATATACTTTTACCAGCAATGCACGCGATTCATTCTCCCTGAATTCAGTATTAGGTATCTTAGCAATGTAAATAAAATTTTAGATTAATCAAAATTTTCAAATCTATTGTGGACATCTTAAAGTGACCAAGTTTTTTCGGCATCACATTTTAGTAACACATACCCTAACTATACATACTATACTCTAAATTATACTCTGTCAACCTGTAAAAACTACATGAAAATAACTTCAATTGTTTCAGAGATATGTAGTTACAAACAGACAGAGAAACAGTCAGAAAAGATAATATAATTACGAATATTTACGAGTTTAACGCCATTACGTGATAGGTACCTTTGAACTGTACGACGTTAAAAGTTGGACAGTAAAGTCATTTTAAAAATATCACTGTTTATTTATCGTTTTATATTTGTTTAAACAAATATAAACAATTTCCAGGACAGCTCTAATCGTTTGCTATTAGATAACACTAATAAGTATAGAGAACGTGATTTGAATCACGTCA